TACACTTTCTACAGTATGTATGGATGAGAATTTTTTTTAATGTTGTTTCTTATGTTTAAAAATAAAAAAAAATTGCAAAGAAAAAAAGATTTGGGCCATTTTGTGGTGGAATATGTTATATCCTTGCCTGTCCAAAATCTCCCCCACCCTCTCTAACCATGATGCAAAGCTCCCTTGGTTTTCTCACCATTGGTCTTCGTTGTTTACAAGTTGTGACTCTTACATCCTGTTTCGAATTTTACTGGCCTGTGCTCTTTGGGGTAGTCTTTGGACTGGCAACCATTCTGTAATCTTGGGAAAGAATGCCCTTGGAAAGATGAAGTGAAATAAAATAATAAACCAAGCTCTTCTGAATCACTCCTAGGTTGCATTTGGAAACCTTTAAAAGCTTCATTCCACACTGAGTAATTAATTATTATCAGTATTAATGCTGACTTAGTCAGCTGAAAAGACTTTGCGCTGGGGCATCCGTCAAGAAAAACAAGGGGAGAAAGTACAGATCTTCAGGAGATAAACATTATTTAATTACATGGCTGTATTCTTCAACTACATTCATGCCTGTGTCGAGCAAATGATATGCAAATGCTGAATATATGGTTGGTCCCAAAATTCTTCTGCTGTTTCATTGGGGTGCCATGGAGAAGAAAGGTAACCTAGCTAGAAATTGTAGTTTCAGTACTGATCCTATGAGAATATTGACAGTGTTCTGAGTGAGATGGCTACTGAACATACTCTGAACAACAGTTCTGAACATCTGAAGGACCCGCCTGTACGGGATTTTTCCTAACAGGATTGAGGACAAGCGTGGCTCAATTAGGCTAAATTTCCTTAACAAAAATTGGGGACAAGAGTGGCTAAAAGAGAGAGAAACAATCTCCCTTTAGACAGTTGCTAGAAGCAAAAAAAGTTTACTGGTAGCTTAACCACCTCAGATATGGATATGCCTACTAGTAGAGATGAATTCAGCATATTAAAAAACAGAGACATCACCCTGCCAACAAAAGTGCGTATAGTCAAGGCTATGATTTTCCCAATTGCAATGGATGGCTGTGAAGGTTGGACCATAAGGAAGGCTGAGCACCAAATAATTTAGGCCTTTGAACTATGGTGCTGGAGAAGACTCCTGCAAGTCCCTTGGACTGCAAGGTGATCAAACTGGTCAGTCCTAGAGATCAACGCTGGCTGCTCTTTAGAAGGTCAGATCCTGAAGATGAACTCAAATACTTTGGCCACCTAATGGGAAGGAAGGACTCCCTGGAGAAGAGCCTCATGCTGGGAACGATTGAGGGCAAAAGAAGAAGGGGATGAGAGAGAATGAGGTGGCTGGATGGAGTCACCAAAGCAATAGGCATGAGGCATTAAATGGACTCCGGGGGATGGTACAGGACAGGAAGGCCTGGAGGAACGTTATCCATGGAGTTGCGATGGTTCAGACATGACTTCGCAACTAACAACAACAGGGATGAATTAAAGAGTAGCAGCAAACAGTTTGTTCAACTGAACAGCCTCTTGATTTGACAGATGACAATTCTGATCGGTCCCATCCTACAAGACTGTAGCCCAACATCAAACCAAGGCTGGGTCTAGTAAAGGATAAGTCTATGGTTCATTTTGAGACATGTTGACTAGATGTTTTGGCCTCCTATATATTATCTGGCTTTCAGGAGCTCTCTGTAGCTTCCTCAAAATGTTGCAAATACTTAACCATTAAAATCTCTGCTCAGGTACTGTGTACCCCCAAAATGAATTTTTTCCTCTCCTTAGTAGGAGGTGCTGCTAATGGTGCTTTTCTCTTCTTTTGATATCACTGGAATCAATCAATCAGAACAGAGCTGGAAGGGACCTTTGGAGGTCTTCTAGCCCAACCCCCTGCTCAAGCAGGAGAGCCTATACAATTTGAGACAAGTGTCTGTCTCAATGTCTTCTTCAGAACCTCCCCTGATGAACCATCATGAGAAAGGTGACGGGGGAAGAAAGTGCCCATTTCAAATCCTCCCTCCCACTAGCTAAAAATGCAGAGCCGAACATAGGAATTCATGCAGCTAATGTTGTCCTGGCTCTAAGAAATCCCGCACGAAGTTTGCAAGAGAAGATATATTTAGCGCCGCAGTGGCGCAGTGGTTAGAGGGCAGTACTGCAGACTACTTCTGCTGACTGCCGGCTGACTGCAATTTGGCAGTTGGAATCTCACCAGGCTCAAGGTTGACTCAGCCTTCCATCCTTCTGAAGTGGGTAAAATGAGGACCCAGATTGTTGGGGGGCAATAGGCTGACTCTGTAAACCGCTTAGAGAGGGCTGGAAATCACTGTAAAGCGGTATATAAGTCTATTGCAGGTTAACTCTGCCCATTGTCTGGAGTTTGATCCTGACTGGCTCAAGGTTGACTCAGCCTTCCATCCTTCCAAGGTGAGTAAAATGAGCTTAGAGACGGCTTTAAAAGCACTGTGAAGTGGTATACACAAGTCTAAGTGCTATTGCTATATTGCTATTCCTTAATTCCAAAATGCAATTTTAACAAAACTTATTAAGCGCTATCCTATTGCAACCTTCTGCAGAGCCTGCGTGTTGTTCCTTATGCAGCAAAACATCGTTGGCAAAAATACAAGGGTAACAGGAGTTTATTTTACGATGATAAATGTACAATATTGTGGTGGGCCGGGCAGGGAAGGACCCTCCTTGTTTGAGTGTTTGCAGCAAAAGCCAAAGATGGTGTCATCTGGACTTAGTAGTCCATCTGCTCCGTGTCACAGCCCAAGACTTCCATCCTCAGGGCAATATATTTGTTCCACTTGAGTGGGTGTATCCTCAAATATTTGGCAAAGAATGGGACATCCAGAAAGTTCATCACGGGCTGCAAATAATCCCGATTTCCCTGGAAAACCTGAAAAACAAGAGGATCGTAACCAGGGGTGGGCTGCTACAGGTTCGCTTGAGTTTGGGAGAACCTGTAGCTAATGTTATGGGCAGTTCAGAGAACCTCCAAATCCCACCCCTGGCTGGCCCTGTCCACACATCCCTGCCCCTCACACACCACCCCTTCCCAGAGTCTCCACGCAGACTGTTTTGGAGGTGAGATAAGCCAGGGCCCATATGGAGGCTCGGGGAGGGGGAAAAACAGGCCTCTTGGAAGTTCCGGAAGGCTGGAAATGGGCCTGTTTCCGGCCTCCGGAGGGCCTCTGAAGCCTGGGGAATGCAGTTTTCACCCTCCCAGAGGCTCTAGGAAAGCCTCCAGGGCCTGGGAAAGATGAAAATGCCCCTCCCGCCATGGTGCAGGAGGCCAACTAGGTCATGCCCAACCAGCAGTCAGGCAGAGAACCTATTGCTGAAATTTTTGAAGCCCACCCCTGATCGTAAGACTTGCTTTTCTCAGACCTTTTCACTGATAAGCCAAAATTGACCCCACTGATAGTCCTCAACTTACAACCGTTCAAAATGTACAATAGCACTGAGAAAAGTGGCTTATGGCCGCTTTTTCGCACTTACGACCTATGTAGCATCCCCACGGTCATGTGATCAAAATTCAGATTCTTGGCAACTGGTTCCTATTTATGACGGTGGTCTGTGCAATGTCCTGGGGTCAGGTGTTCCGTTTTTGCGACCGTCTTACATGCAAAGTCAATGGGGAAGCCAGATTCACTTCACCCCCGAGTTACTAACGGACCAACTGCAGTGATTCACTGAACAACTGTGGCAAGAAAGGTTGCAAAATGGGGAAACAGTCACTTATAGCAACGGTCTCCCTTAGCAACAGAAAGTTTGGGCTCAATTATGGTCGTAAGTCGAGGACTACCTGTATGACTGGCTTAGGAATTCTGGGGATTGAAGTCCACATATCTTAAAGTTGCCAAGGTTGGAAAACATTGGTTAGTATATGTTAGGAATATAATCTAATGGTTGGGTTGGTAATATATAAATCATATAGCAATGCTGTACCTGTTTCTTTAAATCATACTGTAAAATGTGATTGGTTGCTGTTTTCCTCAATCAGCCATAAGAGGGAGCCAGAATGACTG